TGCCTAGGTAAAGTAAAGCAGGTAATTCACAGAGACTGGCATAGTAACACAGACGCAACATTTCTGTTGAACTTTGTAGTTCAGAGAACTTCGATCCCTGTTTTGAAGATGTGTATTATAATGTCCTTTTGTGTCCTACGGTTAGATGACAGCAAGTTCTTTAAACAGATGTCTAAACCTTCTCTTACTTGACTCCATTCCCTTCTATGTTCCCCAAACACTGAAGGTTTCAGATGTGGTTACATGGCATTTCGTTTCAGAGTTGATACTAGAAAACTGGGCACCCTGATATGTACCATTTTCAGTGTATAGAGTCTGCAAGTTTCTGTCTGGAAAAGAATAAAATGAGTGTAGGCTTGTGGAACACAGTCTTTCCATTAAGTCCCTGGAGAGCACAGTATTTGTCACTGCTTTTTCTTTTGATGCTGGGAACGCTACTATTGATTGAGGTGGTTCTTTACAAGTGAAGACCAGGCCTGGTAGTGAGAACGGCTGTTCTTCACAGCCAAGACTTCCACTTGTCTCATGCTCTTCTTCCTTAAGGACCAGAAAGCAATACCATTTTACAGGACTAGAAAAGCATCACAGTCCCTCAAGGTAACAGATTATCTCCAAGCTGGGGACCCCTAGAGAAAGGTTTCATTTGTGGCCCAAATCTTAGGAAAATAGACCTGATTCATGACTATGATGCCAAAAGTCAACCAGGATTCAGTATCTTCTTCCTTAAGGACCAGCTACAATGCAGGAGACCCAGGTTCAATCCCTGGATTGGGAAGAATCCCTGGAGAAGGAAATGGCAACCCACTCCAGTACTCTTGCCTGGAAAATCCCATGGACAGAGGAGCCTGCTGGGCTGCAGTCCATGGGGTCGCAAAGAGTTGGACACGATTGAGCAACTTCACTTTCACTTTCACCTTCATAGTCACAGGCTAATTCTTAGGTATCCTTTGTGTATACAGAGGACTCTACTCCAATCCCCAGATCTGCCTCTCTTGCATTTGGGTACCACACATTTTCATATCTCAAACTTGAGGACTTGGTGATGTCAGGCTTCTCTCCGCTGGCATGTCAGCTTGATGCCTTCCTAGTCAATGGTTCCTTTATCATGGGTGGGTTGTTTTTAATATAATTCCCCTTTTCAGAAGATGTCAATTTCATGTGTGAATACACAAGTTTAGGGAACTTATGACATTTTTGTTTCTCTGTCTTAGAATGTTATATTTAATATTTTTATATCTCTCTCAAGTGTTCTTGAAGCTTTCTATAACATTTTTGTTATAGAACTGTTCCTAAATAGCTATAACTATATAGCAGTTATAGTTCTAAAACTGTTAAAGAGCTGTTATAGAACTGTAGAACAACTGTTTCCTTCTACAATGACATTAGGGAAATCAAAACAGGTAAGAAAGCAAGACATAGTTGAGTACCCGTGGGGCCAGTGCTGGACCAGGCCGTATGGGGGATTTAGACAAGGAAGACCCCAGAGAGCCAGGAGAGAGGGGAAGAGCATCGACCTGGGGAGAAGACTGACGGTGAGCCTAGAAGAATGAAGGAAACTTGGGGCATTTGGGGTGAGAGGAACAACTGTTGACATATGCATAGTGTGTCCTGGAGATTTAGAAGGCTTGAATCTTGGCTGGATCTGAGAAAAAACATTGGATACTAGCTGATAATAAAATGGCACACAAAATTGGACTATATTATAAGCTGTCCTAATTATTGAGTAAGTTATATACTCTGGCGATAAAACAAGTTGTCCTTGCCCAAATGTATGTCTCTCCTGCTCCCTACCAAGGCTCAACTTCTGTTTCCTGTATGTTGAGATTTTTCCTTAACAAGCAGGAACGCCATTGGCCCTTTTCTGCACAGGGCCATCTCCCTTATCCTAGGTGAGGCCCATATTGTCTGTTCCTTGGGAGTAAAAATAATTAGATGATTTTTCATTCTTATTAAAGTTAAAGTTTTACAGTCAGTGAGCTTCTTCATGAGAACCTCTATCTCATAATTTTTAAAAAACATTTATCTGTTTGGCTGCATCAGGTCTTAGTTGAGGTACGCAGGACCTTTGACCTCCCTTACGTCATGTGGATCTTTTATTTGCAGCATGTGAACCCTTGATTGAGGCATGTGGAATCTAGTTTCTTGTCCAGGGATCAAACCTGGCCCCCATACACTGAGAGCACAGAGTCTTAGCCACTGGACCAACAGGAAGGTCCTCATAATTTTTAAATTGGCACACATTGCAACAATAATATTGATAATTATCAAATGTGCCGGCTTAAGTTTATTGTTAGTTTTATTTTATTACAATATAAAGTCTACATAGACTCTGAGTGTTTAGTGCAGTAGACTCTGATTCAGTTATACTGGGAATCAGTCGTAGTCATTAACATGTTTTAAAAGCTTTCCAGATGATTGTACTGTGAACCCAGGGTTGCTACCCACTGAATTAAATACCTTTGTTTTCTGATATTATCTTGTTAAAGGGCACTGACTCTGAAGTGGAAACAGCGCGATCAGCATCCTCTTAGTCTGGGATTGTTTTCTGCTTCATGTTCTTACTTTGAGCTGACTTCTGTGGTGTTCTGCTCCACTCTACCTCAATAATGATATGAATGATCACAACCTCACAGTAAAGATTTTTAAAATCCAATGCAAATATTGAATTTTAATATTTTTATGAATGGGTGGTGATTGTGCCTGCTGTTTTCTGTGCTCAATTAGAGTGTGCTTTTAATTTCTGACTCTAGTATTCTGTATAATATTAGTTTTGACTTATGTTAGTTAGCATACTTTGTATTCTGTTCACTTCCAAAATATCTTGTTAAGTTGTTTTAATGTAAAGAAAAGGAAAATTTGTTGCCTCTGATTTTGTCTAATTAGGAGCAAGATGACTGTCTGGCTTTGATTGAGCCTATATGTGTCTGTTACATTCTAGGCGTTTGAAAGAAATAAGAACATGCTATATATATAGTTTTTACCCTGATGTTGAAGAGAATAGACCTATATAGAGCAAGAAGATAAAAATTGCCTCAAGACCTATTTTATAGCATTGGAATGTAGAAGTTATTCATTGATGAGATACTAAATAAGACTAGCAACCTCAAAAGTCTAAAGGGGTCATGCAGTTAAATAGACTTGAAACTCTTAGGGAAAGGAGATAGATGTTAAAATGTTAGACTGAAACCAAATTTAATGCCTGCACAGTTACAGCACCTTTCAAAAACCTTGGGAAGGCACATAATACAGCCAATGAAACCTGCCATTACTTTAGAATCTTGGTCTAAGTAGATAAAAGAGAGATCGTGGGAGAAAGAAATAAGAGAATAAGAAAGGAAATAGGGGTAGTAGATGAGTAATTGCCCCCTAATACCTTCCCAATAAATATTGCTTGAATGAATGAATGAATGAAATAAGAGAACATATTGGAAAGTAGTTTGGGCTGAGGCACAAATTTCTTCTGGGAATTGCCTGTTGCTGTATTGAATCGTGTTGAATTAGCAGTGTGCTTGTTTTAGCCAGGACGTGTTTTCACCACCAATATAGTTATTGCCAAAGGGGAAAAAAGGAGAAAGATCTTATCATGAAAAGAGAGCAGAATTCTTTCTCCAATTTCCTTTATTCCTCATGTTTTTTTATAGCTGTTGCATTCTTACAAAATATGACCTAAAATTCTAAAGGAAGCCTGGTCTTTCAAAGCTCATTTGAATTTTGTTTGTGCTACTAAGGAGCCCGTGCTTGTACCAGAAGATTAACCTACTTAGGTTAATTTAGGAAATCTTTCTGTTTTTGGCTTCGGCTTGACTTGCTTGTGTTACTTCGCTTCCTTTCCAACCAATCCTATTAGTGAAATGAACTGAACGCTACCTCTTGCCTCTGGTAACTTGCTTGAAAATTTAAGTTTTTACACACTGGATCAATCACTGATTTTAAGGTTTTAAAGTGGTTCTGATATTTAATTTTATAAACAAACTTACTGAGATTTAACTTTCATAGCATAAAATTCACCTGTTTAAAGTATACAGCTCAGTTAATTTTAGCAAATTTATATGGTGTGCAGCCATTGTCACAATCCATTTTGGAGCGCTTTCATCACCCTAAAAAATCCCCTGGTGTCCTTTTATCAGTCAGTCTCCTCTCCCACCCCAAGCCCCAGGCAGCCACTGATATGCTTTCTGTAGCTATCATTTTCAGTAGCCTTTTGTAGAAACTTCATTTGAGAGGACCAGAATATCTAATACTTATTTTAATTTTAGAGACCAAGTTTACCTTATTAAAATAGCCAAGAACAACTTAAGTGACTCTTCTACTTCACTACAATATTGTTTATTGTAGTGAAATAATAATAATATATTCATTAGAATTAATAAATTAATTTTATTTGCAGCCAAATAAATTCATTGGAAGAGTTTTCTGAATCAGATGCTAAGTAAGACTTTATCACATGCCTCATTTGTTTTGCTGAATTGCAATTTACTCTCTTTTAGTTAGATATCTTGTTCAGTTTTAAGCTATGCGTTGCCTATTGCCTCCTCAAGATACATGGATCAGCATTCTTCCCAACTTCAGACTGTCTTCTATAGCCTATGCTGTTATGATATTTTTTTCAGAATGACAAGTATTTGTGTGAGTGCAAAGGAAAAGAAAACAAGAGGTACTTGATGACCCTTCAAACATTTGCACATAGATGACTGGATGGAAGATGGGTTGACAATGTCCAAATATTTAGATCTCAAGAATGTGTTTTCTATCATCAGTTCTCACGGTATCAGTTCAGTTCAGTTCAGTTCAGTTCAGTCATTCAGTTGTGTCCGACTCTTTATGATCCCATGGACTGCAGCACACCAGGCCTCACTGTCCATCACCAATTCCTGGAGTTTACTCAAACTCATGTCCATTGAGTCGATGATGCCATGCAACCATTCTCTCAGGGTATAGAGAATTAATAAGTTGCATATATTTGAAATAGAATTTCACTCTTTGTGTTTTTTATTTCACAGGAGGAATGTGAGGCACATTCTAGCAAGGAATAAAGCCTTACAATGGACTAAGTCCTATGTCTTACCAGAGTTTCCTTATGATGTCAAGTGCATGCTAGCAGAACAGAAGTGTCCTGATCACAGCATGCGGATAAGGATCATTGAGTTCCTCCAGGCGGACATGACCAAGTATCTGCAAGGCTCACTGTGAGTAATAACAGGGCAGACTTGCTGCCTTGGGAGAGGGTGTGTTTTCAGAAGACTTGGAATCATTTGGAACCCATTCTCTTCAGATTTTGCATGACAGATTGGTAATAAGTCCATCATTGCCCAATATTTGAATGTGTGTGCTATGTTTACTCATGTCTGACGCTTCTGTTACCCCATGAACTGTAGCCCACCAGGCTCCTCTGTGGGATTCTCCAGGCGAGAATACTGGAGTGGGTTGCCATTTCCTCCTCCAGGGGAATCTTCCCAACCCAGGGACCGAACCCAGGTCTCCTGTATCTCCTACGTTACAGACGGGTTCTTTACCACTGAGCCATCAGGAAAGCCCTTATTTGAGGGTCTACATTATCACATAGAAAGATTTGAAGAAAAGTGAATGTAATTTGGACTCATAGGGAGGAACACGGGCTTCTTGAACTGAAAAATGTCCTCCCTGTCACATTGAACAGGTACCCCACCACCCAGCAGTATAACGACGTGGTCAATGCCTTACTGCAGGCCCACCCTTTCCTGGATGAGGACGGCTGTGGCTTTGTAAGTGACCACACGGCACCGTTCGGTTACTCTCAACCCTCCTTAAAATAAGAGCCTCGTGTTGTCCACTAATTTCAGGCCTCGTTCCCTTTTCCTCCGTCTCTCTCTCCCTGTTTATCTAGGTCTCTCTGCTTCTCTTTCTCTGTCATTTTCTGTCTGGTTTCTAATTCCATTCCCTTGACCATCTCTTCTGTCTCTTGCTCTCAGTCCCCATCTTGTTCTTAGTTTTGGCCTTTCTCTCTCTGCTCTGTTCTTTTTGATGATTTCTATGTGTTCCTATGTTTTCTTTAAAAAAAAAAAAAAAAACTTCATTTTTTAGAGCAGTTTTCAGTTCACAGCAAAATTGAGAGGAAGATACAGAGATTTCCCAAATAGCTCTTGCCCCTACACATCCCTAACATCCCTCATTACCAACATCCCCCATGGAGAGGTAATTCATTACAACTGATGAACCTACACTGACACATCATAATCACCCAAAGTCTACTGGTTACATTAAGGTTCGCTCTTGGCATTGTACATTCTATGTGTGTTTAGGCAGATGTATCCATGATTATTGTATCATATATAGTATTTTCACTGTGCTAAAAATCCTCTGTGTTCCACCTGTTCATCCCTCCCCGTCTTCATCCTTGGTCTTCTTTCTCTCTCTATGTCATCCTCTAGAAAGATGATCAGAATTTCTTTCTCAGAGCATCTGGAGGCTCATGTTTAACCATGAGTTTCTAGGAAGGATCTTCACGAGATGCCATACTAGAAAGAGCAGCTGTGGCTGCACCTACATCCATGCTTTCATCACTAGAGTGGTTCTTGCCTTTGTTAAGACCTATGAAGAAGTTGTGTAGTTTTGAGGTCTTGACCCGCAGCCTCACCTGATTCACTCATGGCTCTACTGTTCTAACAGAAAAAGATCCTGGCGGTGTTTGGAGCAGCAGTTCTCAACTCTGGCTGCACATCAGGATCCCCGGAGATGCTGATTTATTTGATCTGAAGAAGAAACATTTGCATCTTTAAAAGTACCCCAGATGATTCTAATGTGCAACCAGGGTTGAGAAACACTGTTCTAGAGGTTTCGGTATAAGCTTTGCTCTCTGGATCTGCAAGTCCTTGGCTTTAAAAGCCAGGGATCTCCATTGCTCAACAATGTAAACATACTTAACTCTACTGAAGTGTACACTTAAAAAAGTCAAGGCGGTTAAAAAAATTTGAGTGCATTGTGACACTGGAACTGTATGATTTAAGGGACAATTGTGGAGAATTATAGCTTTTATACCTAAAGCTATAATGTCTATTTGTTCTCACATCTCTAGGTGATGTATATGCATATATTGGTAGTTGTATCTAAACAAGATACATGTCCTTTGTACTTTATTTTCGCAGACATCTGTGAGAAAAATTTTTTGCTATACTTTTTGAAGACGTGGAATTTAAGCAATTAGTTCCAATCTGAATAGCAAATAATAAATGTCCCTGTCTGTGAGCATGACATTTACGGCCTCTGTTTTCTTTCTCCTCTCCCTTGCTTCGTGTTTTTCTTTCTTTCTCTCTTTCTTTCTTGGAAAAAGTTCATTATATATGGATAGACTCATAGAGTTTTCTGAGTGGGAGAGGGCCTTAAAGATTATTTTTCACCACCCAGACTCAGAAAAGACATATCTAGAACCAGTAACTTTGAAGTCAGACTGGTATTCAGTTACCCTTGCTTCTAGTATAATATCCTTTCTAAAATATTCTGTTGTTTACAAAAACACACTATAAAGTAAACCAAATTTTCTCAAAAAACAAACAAACAAACAAACCTGAGGTCCTAGTATTGATAATTAGCCCACATGCCATGAATTCCTTCTATACTTAAGATATAATATTTCCAAAAATTAGTGTTACTGTTTATAGACTTAGTTGTGTTTTAAAGAAATAATCTAAATTTGCTGTTTCAATAAGTTATACTTTCATGGGGTTCAAAAGCTGTAAAAGGATATAAATGGGAACATCTCCCGCCCAATCTATCCTCCAATCATCCAATTTTCCTTCCCAGAAGTAACCAGTATTATTAAAGTTTCCTCCCAGAGAATCTTTGCATATATATAAGCAAATACATATCTATCTAATTACATTTTGACCTTTAGCTTTGTGGTTATCAAATGAGACAAACAGAAAGTTATGAATTATGCTTGCTTTGATCTTGTGTGCATGTTACCCACATCTTTTCCCAGTGATGTTAAGTAGAGATGGCTCACTGCTAAGAGAGCTGCAAAAGCGCTTAGCACATCGTGGTCCAGGTTTGTACACACACAGTGAGAGGGGGACTTTGGGGCCTGGTAGGTGTTTACGCAAACTCTCCCCACAAGTGTATGTGAGGCTGTGTTTCTCACGTAACAGTGGAAGATGTAGGAAATTTCTTAGCATATTAATGTGAGAGAGAGAGGGCACACAAGTGAGGAAGCATTTGGTTGTTTTTAGGACTAATTTTATTCTTAACTTTTAAAAATTTAAATATAATTGATTTACAATACTGTATTAGTTTTAGGCGTACAGCAAAATGATTCGATTATATATGTGTGTGTATATATATAAATACATAACTTTTCAGATTATTTTCTATTATAGATTGTGACAAGATTTTGATAGTCCTAATTTTTTATTTCAAAAACTTTCAAATCTACAGCAGAAGCTGAAAGCCTGCTACAGTGAACACCCATACACCTTTTAACTAGATCAAGGTTTCTCAGTCGGGCCAGTATTTGTGATGGGAAGATATTTTCAAGCCCAGAGGTGATAGACAACAATTTTATTGTTTATATAGGCTTATTCAAATCTCTTCAAAGATTAACTGCTCTGTTTTATAATTTTACACAGTTTTTGTGGAAACGAGCCCTCAAAGATCGCTTTAAATATGTTCGAAGACCCATAGAAGATGATGAACAAGTGATGAGGAATAAGTGTAAATTTGGACACCGAAGAGGCCAGACAAGGAAATCTCTTGCTGATATAAGATTTGATGAAATTAAAATTGTCCAGATAAAAGTAAGATTGAATCTTTAATTGTTCTGACAACTTATTGGTTGACTGATTAAGGAATAACAAATGCTAGCATTTAAAATAATCAAAGCGAAACAAAATATCCTTCTGAAAATTTAACATGTGGGTCATAAACCAAGAAAAATCTGTTTTGCTTTTGTGAATGAGAAAATTTCCAGAAGAAGGTTTCCAAAAACCTGAGCAGAAGGTTTATTGAATATCTCAAGTTTATTCTTTCACAATCTTCAAAAGACCTAGAGAAACTCTTACATTCTGGGTCTTTGAATAATTTCTTTACCTCTCACCCTAAAATGTGCGCTATGTTCTTGCTGTTCTTATTACTACAGAAAGTTTTTAATACTCATGTTGTGGGGGTCAAGTAGCCTCTGGTTTCAAGATAGTCCACACACATGGGTATAAAACTCCACAGTACTCTACTTGGAACAGAGGCAGGCATGAGGAAGTTCAGGCCAAGGGCCCCTGGCAGGGTCTGGAGATTCCCCACTCTACAGTGAGTTTGCTGCACCGTAATGTTGATGTGGGTCCTAATTATCTGAAGTTCTATAGATATCATCTACTTCATGGCCCCCAGATGCTCTCAGAAACAAAAATGTCCCCTACTCTGCCCCCAGATGCTCTCAGAAACAAAAATGTCCCCTACTAGTAAAATAGACTGAACTCCTCAGGAAGGATGTCCTATCTATCAAGTTCAAGAAGCTAAATCTCATGTCCCCCAAAATACTATTTTTCCCTCAATCCAATATGAATGAGTGGGCTTCCCTGGTGGCTCAGTGGTAAAGAATCCATCTCCAGTGCAGGAGCTACACGAGCCGCAGGTTTGATCCCTGGGTCGGGCAGATCTCTTGGAGGAGAGCATGGCAACCCGCTCCAGTATTCTTGCCTGGAGAATCCCATGGACAGAGGAGCCTGGCAGGCTACCGTCTACAGGGTCACAAAGAGTCGGACATGACTGAAGCGACCTAGCACTCACGCAGCACAACATGGATATGTAAACCTAAGTTTTCACTATAAGCACATTTATGCTAGTGAATGTGCCGGTGTAAATATTCTGTTTTCTTTTTCAGCTGGTATGATTATTTAATATTAATAAAGCAGCCTATCAGATTATCTCAATTTTATTGTCACTACTTATGAGTGCCAGGGAATGGGAGTATTTTTTAAACATATTTTGTAAACTATTCATCCTAGCATGATACATAAGAAAAATTTTAGATCTAGATGTATTTTTAAATATCTTATTATGTAACTTTCAAAGTGTTTTCAAAATGACAGTCCAGTTAAGGTAATACAATTTTATATCTGCTTTTTGAGGAAAAGACAAGACAGATGAAAGGTACCTAAATTAAGAGGTGTGGTTTTATAGAAACTTTAACTGCAATATTCCAATTTTAAACTAAAATCATAAGATAAAATTAGACTTGTTTAAAAATATATTTTATATTCTTAAAATAAAGAGCCACTTTGTAAAGGAACATAATTACACTGTGCATAAGTATTCTCAAAATATGTGATTTTCCTCATACTACAAATGGAGTTCCTTTATAAATGAATTAATATTTTACAAATTCAGTTTTCTTTCTTTCGCTTTGATGCGTCTTCCACCAAAATTCACTGGAGCGGGATGAAAGGTAAAATTGGAAAAGCAGCCATTGTCCCCAGCAAGGGTAAGCCCCCGGGGTCAGAGGTCACCCTGACGGACACAGGCTACACGGCAGCTCCTCTCTTGTGCTGAGCCATCATCACTGACCCCGTTTGTGCGGTCGTCTTTCTATTCTTTCTCAGAACCACCTCAGTTCATCTTGTAGCTGCGCCCTTTGTGGTTCCTATCTTGGAGTCTCCTAGACATGCCTGCATCTTAAATTGAATCCTACTAAGGCCCATGCAGGGGTCTTTGCTACAAAGAGAAGAGGGATTGAATGTATCAGGGCCCAAGATGATTTAAGTTGCAACAGAATTTAGTTTTGACCTTCCTGCCAGCTGGGGCAAAAAGAGGTCATTGTTAGCACCTGAAGAGGCAACAACATTTTTCCTGCCAAGCAAATCTAATTGGTAAGGATTTACTTTTCTCCCTCTTACAAATGGAGCTACATATTGCTGGTTCTTTAAACACTGTAACATCTCTGTTTATGACCTAATGTTCTGTAAAGCCAAATGCTTCAAAGGATGGAAAAAATTTTACACTAGAATATTACAGAAACAATGTATTTCTGTATTTTGTACCCTCCATAGTGACTAAGCAAATGGAGAAACACTAATAAGACAAGTTCATTGAATACACCACTTATCTCATGGGGTTTTAGACTTCAGATGAGTTGCCTAAATTATTTCCAGTGTGCATTTTGAATTTCTTATAGCTCTTTTTAAATGTCTTTATGATTTCTGAAAATTAAAGATAGTTGGATTAAGATATACTTTGGCGACTTTCTCATCTTTTAAAATTTCTTGACTGGGCACAGCATTTCCATAATATAGAAAAAAAGTTATTCCTTGTGCTGGAGAGATGGAAAACGCTGATGTAGGCAACAAGCCAGGAGGCAGGCCATCCCTTCAAAGGCAGGGAAGTGGGTTTTGCTAAACTGGAGAAAAGTATTGGGAATAAGTAAGGAAGGAGAAGAGTTCTTCACTTGTTTTGTTTCTGTTGTTTATCTGCGGTGGTTATATTGATGGTAGATGCCTCAGTGAAGGACAGTGCATTTCTTACTCTTGTCACATGGGCTTCTGAAGATGACCAAGCAGCTGCAGAATGTAAGTGAGTCTGAGGTCACAGATCTTTTGTCCACAACCCTCCTCCTCCCTTAATCTCTGAGGTCAGCGTGGCACTGCTTAAACTATGCTCTGTGTGTGTGTGTGTGTGTGTGTGTGTGTGTGCGCGTGCGTGCATGCATGTGCACGTGCACACCTACTGTTGTGTCCAACTCTTTGCAACTCCATAAACTGTAGCCTGCCAGGCTCCTTTGTCCATGGGATTCTCCAGACAAGAATACTGGAGTGGGTTTCCAGTTCCTCCTCCAGGGAATCTCCCAACCCCCAGATCCAACACATCTCTTGCATCTCCTGCATTGGCAGGCAGAGTCTTTACCAGATGAGCCAGTGAGGAAGGCCCTATAAAACCCAAAGCTTCAGCAGCATCAAGCATCTACCCATGAGCCTTAAAAATGCCTGGATTCCTTATATTCTGCTACTGAAAGGAATTATAACCATGGTATGCAGAGCTATACTGTCAGAATCCCAGGTTATGTTTCTAGATCAATCCTCCAAAAATACTGGATTTAAATGTCATGTTTAAAAATCCTTTGCCAACCTCATGACCCCATGTCACTGTTGGTTGTACATCCAGTCAAATGCAGTATAAGCAACACTGCTTCTTAGGCATCTGAGTTTTAGCTTTAGGTCCAAGCAACTTGTAGCCCTGTGAATTGATAAATCTGTTTCATTTGCTTAATTGTCTTTTACTATACTTCTTAGAGTACTTATAAACAGAGACACAAATAGATTCTCAAAACAGTAGAATTAATTGAGCAATATCTTTTTTTTCATTGAAGGATAGTTGATTTAGGGCTTCCTTGATAGCTCAGTTGGTAGAGAATCCACCCACAATGCAGGAGACCCCGGTTCAATTCCTGGGACGGGAAGATCTGCTGAAGAAGGGATAGGCTACCCACTCCAGTATTCTTGGGCTTCCCTTGTGGCTCAGCTGATAAAGAATCTGCCTGCAATGCAGGAGACCTGGGTTTGATCCCTGGGTTGGTAAGATCCCCTGGAGAAGGGAATGGCTACTCACTCCAGTATTCTGGCCTGGAGAATTCCATGGACTATACAGTCATGGGGTCACAAAGAGTTGGACACAACTAAGCGACTTTCACTTTCATAGTTGATTTACAATGTTTCAGGTTTTAGCAGTGATTCAGTTATACATATACATACATACATATATACATATATATGTATGTGTGTGTGTGTGTATATATATATATATATATATATATATATTCTTTTTCAGATTCTTTTCCATTATAGGTTGTTACAAGCTATTGAATATAGTTCCTTGTGTATATAGTAGGTCCTTGTTGGTTGTCCATTTTATACACAGTAGTATGTATATGTTAATCTTAAACTCATTTATCCCTCCTTCACCTCTTTGCCCGTTTGATAACCTTGAGTTTGTTCTCTATGTTTACGAGTCTATTTCTGTCTGTGTTTTAACTGAGTACTTAAGTTGCTGACAATATTATCCTGTTTAAATGATGAAGACACATTGGTAGTAAAAGCTTATAGGAATTGTATGTATGCGGTGTAGTGGAATTAACTTTGTACTGTATTATTTTCTTGTGAAAAACCTGAGATGTTAAAGTTGAGTGATTCAAACTCTCTCACCTCATGGCACATTATCATCTTTGTTCTGTGCCAGGCCTCTTGTTCTATTCATTTCTTATTGTGCTCATTTCTTTTTTAAGTATGAGAGTCCTTTTAATTTTAATTTTATTTTTTTGCCACGCTCTGTGGCTTGTGGGATCTTAGTTCCCCAACCAGTGATTGAACCTGGGCCCTCGGCAGTGAGCACTCGGAGTCCTAACCACTGGACCACCAAGGAATTCCCGTGTGCTCGTTCTTCTACGCCCTTTCCCCCACCTCTGCTCTTGGGCAGCCCTTCGAATGTGTTTCATCTGTATCTTTTTGTTCGTGAGGTGTTCTAAAATGTGCACTGTAATTGTGGGTTTATATATATTTGACTCAATGTAAATGCTATTCTGAGCTTCCCAAGACCCAGTGGTAAAGAACCTGCCTGCCAATGCAGGAGATCCCTGGGTGGAGAGGACCGCCTGGAGGAGGAAATGGCAATCCACTCCAGTATTCTTGCCTGAAAAATTCCATGGACAGAGGAGCCTGATGGGCTATAATCCACGGGGTCACAGAGAATCAGACCTGACTGAGCACACACACAAATGCTATTCTATACCTCGTTTGTATTTCACTTTTTCACTGAT